TTTAGAATTTTGGGTCGAATTTGCTTTTGTCTTTGATTTCTAAGATCTTTGGAGGTTGCCAATTTGTTATTAGGAATTTTGGGCCGAAATAAGTGTTTTATACTCCCTTTCCCGTATCTCCCTCTCCCAGTCACCACCTCTATGGCGGCCCCCTCTGGGTGGAGTTTAGTTAGAGCAGGCATGGTCAAACTTTGGCCCTCCCTCCAGATGTTTTGGACTTCAACTCCCACAATTCCTAACACACACACACACACACACACACACATGATATACACTACCTTAGGTACCTAATGTTGTCCGGGTTCATCTCTTTAAAGTTATAAAAAATGAAAAATATGCTACTTTATATATATACCACTGAGAGAGAGAGAGAGAGAGAGAGAGAGAGAGATTCACATGATGCTATGAGATTATATATATGGAGCCCCTGGCGACACAGTGGGTTAAACAACTGAGCTGCTGAGCTTGCTGACCAAAAGATCGGCAGTTCAAATCCGGGGAGCGAGGTGAGCTCCTGCTGTCAGCCCCAGCTTCTGCCAACCTAGCAGCTGGAATACATGCAAATGTGAACAGATCAATAGCTACCTCTTCTACGGGAAGGTGACGGCGCTACATGCAGTCATGCTGGCCACATGACCTTGGAGGTGTCTACGAACAACGCCGGCTCTTCAGCTTAGAAATGGAGATGAGCACCAACCCCCAGAGTTGGACACAACTGGACTTAATGTCAACGGGAAACCTTTACCTTACTTACACACACACACACACACACACACACATGACTTGGCCTGGCATACAGTTATCACATTTGATATGTGAACAGTGTAGTTGGTCTTTCATATTCAACCCACCATGGCTCAAATCTGTGTGAGGAAATGAATACCTATACCATATATATATATATATATATATACACACACACACACACATATAGATACACATATACATATGCATGCACACACACATTTTCTATACACATTATCTATGTATCTATCTATCTGTACACATCTATACACATAAACGTGATTTCTTGTGCACAAAATCTTTATGTGTGTATGTGGCAGAGGTATGTGGCACTTACACAGACGGACTCTCCTTTCCACGGGCGATAGTTCCCACTACGCAGGAGACGCCAATGGCCCTCCTCCCAAGCACATTGCAGGTTATAGTGAGCGCCGCATCCCAGGGTTCCTTTCTCTTTCCATTGGTGTGGAATTTGCATGACCCCACCCACTGCCTCTCCCTTAACCCTTTCCTATTATTTTTTATGGCACACAGCAAACAGAGGAACTGATCAGCAATCAACATACTGGAGGGGGTTGGGGGGCTTACTCCAAATGATGGAAGTTGTAATTCGCCCGGTAGCAAGACACCCCCACCAACAATGGACCTGGACCACATTTGGCATCAACAACCCCCATGACCAAATTTAGGGGGAATTAAGCTTGATTTATAGGAGTTGTAGTTCACCTACATCCAGAGAGCACTGTGAACCCAACCAGTGATGGACCTGGACCAAACTTGTCACGGATGGTGGGATTTGCAGTACCTTCATTCACTTCCAGAGACCACTGCGACCCCGATGGATGACGGACCTGGA